GTAAACTTGACAAAACTTTCCAAAATATATAATTGAGTAAAGGAGATTTAAGTTTGTTCGAATGAAGGGCCATGTCCTCTTCCAAGGAGAGATAATGATGAACAACTGAACAAACTCAGATGACAGCATCCTTAGGTAGTGTAGATTCAAGTTTCTTTCTAAACATGGTCCCCTGGGGTAGCATAGGGAAACAATAGACAAATTTCAAATTCCTAAGAGTTATCTCCAGATGTCGGCGTAACGCTCATTTTTCCCACTTTGTCCTTTGTAAGTTACCTGTTAATATTTTTAAATGTCAAACATTTTAGGACAATTTTGATATGTACCTGTATTGCCAGAGTGTGGGGCAACATGAAAAACATGAGCATAATTATTCAAATAGATTTCATTTTTAGGATACTGACCCATAAATTTGGTAAGGTTATAGAGGGAAAACGGCGTCTGACGCCGGTTGACCCCGGATTGACCCCACAAAGGGGAATAACTTCTGTAAATGTGAAAGTCGTCTATGGAGGATCAAAATTAAACGAAGGAATACATGGGGGGCTAAAATCAAATACCACGCTCTTTTTGAACCACAGATCTTGAGATCGCTTACTCGGCACCCGCTTTGGCATTCAGAGAGCTATACTAATTTTTAAGCAGAAATAACAGGACAAATTCCCCCATAATTTATTCTATACTAAATGAATAATTGCCCATTTGCATTCTAGAATTACAAGATTTTCTCTAATTTGATCATAGGTTTCAATGTTCCATCAACAACAGTCTAGCGGTCTGATTATTTTTTCTAAATCGAAAGGTTTATTATATATTCATGAAAAAAATTCGTTTAAACCATAGCTTCTTTTACATTCATGATCAACATGGCGTGTAGTTGTTGATGTTGACGTTTTTCAAATTAATTTTTCGCGAAAGGAATTATCACGAACTTAAACTTACAATCTGAAGTAAGAAATTAACTTTAAAATTTCTGCAAGATTTTGTAAATACTATGCAACTCGTAGCTGAACTTCAAACACCGTCTGTTTACATGTGAATGACCATGGGCGCAAACTTCTTTCGAGTAAAAAAGTTGATAATTTTTTATATTGCTTTCAGAAGATCTCGATACATGTGTACATGTTGTAAGTATATGGGATTCGGAATGAGCTTTGGTAGAAACAAAGGTTGTTTATCTATGAATAGAATTGAATAGAAAGTAAAATTTTAGAGCAATTGATTATAAAATAATTTATTAGCGAAATTTGGTACCTAGTGTAAGAGTTCCATACCTTTATCTTTTTTAATTTACATTTTTTAAGCGATCCAAAGGCCTGTGTTTTGAACACAAGCAGTTGGAGTGGCGAAATTTGGTACCCAGTGTAAGAGTTCCATACCTTTATCTTTTTTAATTCACATTTTTTAAGCGATCCAAAGGCCTGTGTTTTGAACTCAAGCTGTTGCATTGGCTCTATCATTAACTGGAACTTAACCAAACAATAATACAGGAATTTTGAAATATAAATGACATTTGCAATGAAAGGATGAGTGAGTTAAAAAATCTATGTATTTATAAGCAATGAATCATTATTTTTTTAAAGATATGGTCTCGTAACTGCAATAGTATATGCAAACAAATTTTTCACAACACGCTGACACGCGTTATTCATTTGTTTGTTGACATCTATACAGTTATGAGACTATTTCTTTCCTAAAATAATGATTCATAACATAAGTAAGCATCACAATACCATAAAAGCATTTTAAAGATACTTTAAAAAGAATATTTTTTTTCTCTCAAGTTTTTCTCTACTCATAAGAAAAGATGAACAAAGGCTGACGGGTAAAGAAGGCAACTGGGATCTATTGGTTACATCTCCAGTGTTTAAAATGATTTTAGAGGGGTATTCGGGATGGAAAACAACTGTTTTTACATATATTTATCAATATGAATTGGTCTTGCTCTACAATCCTCAGATTTATTTAAAGCTTTATAATTTTGTTGAGTATCAATCACAGAAAATAAAGAAATAGATTTATTTTTGGTGGAGAATTAATAATACAATTAATCGTGTTTAAAGACACAGCGTGATGCAAATACGGGAAAATCTTTATAAATAGAGAAAAAGACACTTTCATAGTTGGATCACGTGCAGACAAGGCCTTAACCCTCTTCAACCCCTCCCCGATTCCTAAAAACAAACACACCTAGTCAGTGATTGCAATATATATTAAATCGAAGCCATTTTAACTTGTAATAAAGCAAAAAAAAAATATTTATTGAACAGTCTTTTAGCAAATATTTGTTTTAATATTTGTAATAATATTACCCTATTATTTTTTCTCAGACTAAGATGTCAAAAGCGAAAATTTTATGCAAGCTACAGTTCTTCGTCCGGCAGATCTGCATTAATATTTTGTAATAGGGTCGAAACATTGCGATTACCTGTTGGTTTATCACAAGACTACTTTCCACAATATATCTGGAACTTATAGCAATTCAGTGATAACAAGGGCTCTCTTATCGTCAGTCATTGCAATATTCGAGATTCACCATTTGTATTGTTTATTGTACTAGTTATACCGTATAAGTTTTAATTCTACAATTGTTAAAAATGTTGTTTAGATTTTATATAATATTCCATTACTTTTGTAGAATTTAACTTTTGTTTCGCTTAGTGTTTACTTGGTTTCTATAACTTTTAATTGGTATTAAATAATCTGTCATTAGTATTAATAATGTAAAAATTGTATATCTGTATTTTGAAAATTTTATTTGTATTTTTTTCAATGTCCCATTTAAATCATATCACTTTACATTTAAAATGTATTGTTTCTATTTTTGTTCTATAGTTTGTATTACTATCCATATATTATTGTATGATTTCTTTATTTGTTTTCTGTATTCGTCAATGGCATTGTATCCCAAGCATATTTTCGTGGGGTTTCATTTCTCAATATTTAGGATAAGATGTTCAATGAAAACTGGCCTCCTTCACGTATTTGTGTGAGTTTAAAAGAATTTGTGCAAATAAAAAAAATCTGTCCATAGAAATGTAGAATTTAAAAACTACATATTTTGCTCAATTTTAATGGCACTAAACTATTTCTCTGTCCCTTTGCTCCCTCCCACAAAACGGAGTTTAGTTTTAGTGTTTGGGCAGATTTTCTTTCTCGTCCTATCTCAGGCCTCCTGGAAATATTTTTTTTGTCTTATGAGAAGGATATGGAGATAACAAACAGTATTCAATCTCAAAGTCCATTAAACAATATACAAAATAAGAGCAGAGCAAACACGGACCTCCGAAAAATCAGTGGTGGGATCAGGTGCCATGGAGGAGTGAGCATCTCCTGCCGATCGGCCACACCCGCCTTGTGCCCGTTGTCATGATCAGGAAATAACAGAAAATTCAGTGTATAAATAATGGACTAACAATTGGTATGAAAAACGTCAGTCAGCATTTGACTCAATGATAAATTGTATTTGCTGACAAGGTCATTGTATCGACCATAGAATTTACGAAATGATGACTTTAAACGAAACTGTTGATATTCTTGTTTCATCAACTTGCTTGTCAACAATTAACCTCGTTTAAGAAATTGTTCATACGTAAAGCATGCTCTTGCGTATCGAATCAACTGAGAGATATTAACTCCGTATACTGGTGATGAAGGTATATTGCTGTATAAGTAAGGGAAATTGACAATTGCAAAGTTTAAGTCATCACGTTTATCATAGAGCTTGGTTGTTAGATTACCATTTGTATCTTTTTCAAGTAAAATATCCAAGTATGAAGCAGAAGTGTCGGACTCTGTGGTATTTTTTATCTCAAGCTCACCAGGATATAACGTATCGACGTAGGAATGGAAATTATCATTATTAATTGACAATACGTCGTCGATATATCTAAATGTCGAGTTGAAGGCCACAGCAAGTGTCTTCTTCTTTTCACCCATAAGATTTTGCATAAATTCTGCTTCATATGAATATAAAAATAAGTCTGCTAATAACGGAGCGCAATTTGTACCCATGGGAATTTCAGTAGATTGTTGGAATACCTGGTCTCCAAAATCCACATAGATATGAGATCATTATAATACGATCTAAAAGACCTTACCACACCAAAACCAACAGCTCTTCCATATAATTCAAAATTTTCCCTCACATGCATGCGATAATGTTTTCTGCACTCGAATCCTTTCCTTCGTTCTAAAAACAAAACAGACTGACTTCTTCAATGAAGTTCTTTGTAATGAAACAACTAAACTATCCTTAGATGCAAATGCAAAATTTATGCATACAAACGAACAATAATTGCATAGAATAAAGAATTATACAAACAATGCAAATAAAACATATTGAATACCAATAAAAAAAAGCTATACATTCCACAAATGATTTTAAATTGTAAATGGAAATAATGGAATACAGATAAAAAGTTAAAATGTCAGATGAAAAATTATACATGTACATTTACAATGCTAATGAAAATACAATCTAGAATTATTGAAATTTATTTGAAAATTATATAATCAAAACAAAAACCGTATGAAACAAATTCAGACAATGATACATTACCTATGAGAATTATTTGAATTTAAAATGGAATATTATGAAACAGATAGGAAACGACACGCAATTAAAAGTCATACCATTAAAATGAAAAATTATACAATACAAATTGAGGACAAATTGAATATCGCTACTTTTGATATGTCATTGGTGTTGTAACATTCTAGGTTTGATTTTTCGTTATCACCAGTTTTTAAAAAATGGAACAATATCATTCAGAATTTATATTGGATAAAAATGAAAAATACTTCTTTTTTCAAAAATTACTTTGAAGAATGTTGAACGGCTAAAATGGTTCAAATATAATATTTCTTTGAAAATATAATTCGGATACTTTGTTTTTTCTCAATACATTTTGAAAGATTTAGAAAAATGACATGGAAATAATTCAAATTGTCAAAATTAATACAATAATTTAATACAATACTAAATTTATTTTATTTATTTCCGTTTTGACTGAAAAAATGAATAAAATCAAACCAAGGAACAATATACAACATAAATCTAAAATTACATAAATCACACCTATGATCAAGGAATAAAATGTTCAGTTGCAGGGAAAAATCTTAAATATGAAAAAATATAATACAACTGGTTTATAAAATTGGACAAGAGCTAAGCGCTAACTTTATTAAAGTGAAATAATTTTTTAAAAGTCGTCTCTCAATTTCATTGATCAAAAAAAAACTCTTCATGATCAAAACTGGTCATCCTTAGCATTGTAGCTTCCTGGATCTTGTGAAATGGCATTTGTTGTAAGGAAGTTTGATAAGACGACAGTGATCCCAAAGAGTCTCCGCAGACCTGTTGGCAGATTCCTAATACTTGCCATGAAATATCTCTGAGGGGAAAAGGGACATTAACCCCATCATCATACAGTAGCAGAGTCTGTAGATCTTGTAGAGATTGTTGTGATCTGACTGTGTTACCCAGTCTATGGTAATTCAGTATAAACAAAAAGTGTAACATCACTAGTGGTGGGATACGTAATACAGGTATTCCATTCTTCTTACTGATCATCTTTTCGGGCGCTAGTTTATAAACATAAGAGAAATCATTGTTTAACTCAACATTTTTCACCACAGCTATCCTTAGTTTTTCACTCAAAGGCATATCAGCTGTGTACTGTCTGTACATATTTTCGTTTACATTACGATGATACATAATGTATGGTTGTGAAATTCTCCCGTGTGCTTTTTTTAAATAACTGAATGAATGTTCATACCTACCATCATTGTTTAAGTACATAGCAAGATAGAGAATGTCTGACACACAACCAAACGTGCATGACACTTTCAGAAACATAGATACTATATCAACTTTGTAAAAAACCTTATTGCGAAATTCATGTGAATCAATAATTTCCTGAATTAGGAATGCAATGTTCCGTAACACACTTGATGTCATATATTGCAATGCAACTAACTGATGTGGGGTTAGGTTTCTCATGATTATTCTCTTTATTTGATCCATATAAACTTGGAATTCCTCAATACTATCAATTTGTATGTTTTGAACAAGTTCTCCAAAATAGCTAACATCTAAACCAGTGTTAGATATAATATTGTCTTCGTCTGTACAGACCCTCAGTGTTCTGTTTAATATAGCCTTACTGAGGTGAGGTCTCAGGGTTTGACTTAATAGTAGACACGGTATCCCCTTCTTGTACAAATCATACAACTGACTGAACAAAGAAGCTTGAACAAAGCCGGTAACTTTTACTCTAAACATGTTGTTTTGAGGAATAAAAAAGTTTGGACATTCTCCAATGTGTACCCAGTATATCAATAACTGAAAACATTTCCAGAAACAAGACAACAAATTATAAGGTGTCCATTTCAAGGCCTTATCATTCTGAATTACCCAAAATACACATGTTTTAATAAAATATGAACAAAGGGGGGAGGCATCATTTTGAGAATCAATTATTTCTTTAAGAAAAATTTTGAAGAGACCATAGCACAAAAACTGACAGTGATTCATTGAATACACAATTTTTTGTTCTGCTTTCGAGAATGAGATTCTCCATTCTAGTTCATTTTCAGGTGTGCTGCCAATAGGAACAACATGGAACCCTCCGCTTAATATATCAGATACAATTTTATCAGACGGCCAGCCTTGCTGTCGACATCTCTGTATCCATGGCAGGGCTTTTATTGGCCAGTGATGAGAATAGAAACAAAAAGCCATGTCTGCTTCTATATCTCGGAGACTGAATGTAGAACAAGGCCCATGATTGAAAGAATTGAAGGCATACCTAGACTCGACATATTGCAAATGGTTATCGCGAAATAATGTACTAGAAAGATAAATTTTGTCATAAATAAATACACATGATGATCTGATTTTGTTGTCATTTGAGGGACTCTTCAGATTTAGTCTGGTAAATCCAGGTGGAATATCATCACATTCAATCAACATCACAGTGTGTTGTGGCATACGGTAGAGACTGACTTGAGAGAGATCACAGATTACCTTGTGGTCTGGAGGCCAGAACATATAATCTGAATCTGAAGTTACCAGCCTGAATCCCTCACGTCTACTCCCACTCAACATTCTGTCAAATCCCCTCATGATGTTAGCTGTTTTATCCACTTCCTCGCCAGTATCGTCTACTTCTCTCCTCATCCTCACTTCTGTAGGACTCCCTATTTTGTGACATAGTTCCACATAGACCACCTCTGATAATCGAAGAATTGAATTCATTCCAAGATGTTATTGATTGAATTTAAAATCTGAAATAATAAATATTACGTTATTTCCCAAAAAGTAAAAAAAAATATTAAGATTAAAACTAGAGGTACTGTGATCATTTATGGTCTCACTAAATGATACCCTCACCTCCCATATGGTTATAAATAATGTAATGGCAAAGTCCATTTTGTGCTGTGGCCTAGAAACCCAAAATATGTGTCTGATAAAAAGAAAAATAGGAGGTGCAAAATGGCAATATGTAATAAAGATTCTGTGAAAGTTTCATTATATTTCACTATAAGAGGAGTTGGTGATAAGAGATGGGTACCCCAAAGCGTAACAGACAGACATGCAGACGGACGTACGGACGGACATATCGATTACAGTATACCCTACCACTTTTCAAGCGGGGGGTATAATTAATGAGCTTTATAAATATCCAGTAATATATAGTCCCTTCTTATTAGATTTAAGTCATTTTGAATTGATGATACATTTATCGTTTTTTCTCGGAAATTGTTGACTAATATAATCTTTTTTCAATCTTTTCAAGATTATTTTAAACTTTTTGAATTCCAGATAAAATTTTAAAGCTAGTATTCAGGAGAATGAGGAAAATATGTACCAAAATATTCTGTAACAAAACGGTATTAATGACTACTTATAGATACTCCAAAACCGGAAAAAGAATACCGAACGTATTTGAAATTCGTCTTTTAAAATTTGTGGAAGATATGTAAATCAACAAATGAACAAACGTTGCAAGATTTGGTAGGTACGTTAACCCAAAAATACTCTTAGAATGGTTTGAACAAAGTCAAAAAAATCTAGGAGTGTTCTGTTTCTGTTCTTAGTTGCCCTTAGCGATAGTCATCAAGCTATGAAATTTGCATTCTTTGCATGTATCTATTTGAAAGTTTAAATTAAGGAAAGGATACATGTAGTAAGATATTTTTTACACTAGCATCAAGTTCATAATGTTTTCTGGTTACAATCTTAATATAAATATGTAGATCTATGTTAGTATTTTAGAGGCAAATTACAAGTATGCGTGCAAATCATACTAATATAGTGCTATTTGAGTTAAGAATAAAGGAGTTAGGTGCAAAAGAGTGAGCTGTTCTTTGAATTTTAAAACAGGGCCCGACAAATATCTTGACCAACAATCCCAGGCATTTCTAAATTTAGTGTCAACGATGAGACGCCTGTTTCAATTTCGTATATGGTGATCATTCACGGTATTACAATTATGAGTGAGTCGCCTTCTAAGTGCCAGTGTATTTTTAACGTCCTACAAGTGATGTTTTATGACGCTTACACATTTTTTTCATGTTTGTAAGCAATTCATATGTAAATCATGCTACTGAATTATATACTGTATATCGTCAGTGAGTATACAAGAACACAAATTATTTATTTCTGAAATCGGTATTAAATGAACTAGTAGAGTGCTTACTTAAAGTTACAAAAATTTAAGACAAAAAAGTTTCAATTAGACCTTGTGTTGTACATGTATAAGATAAGAGTAATAATATTATAATTATCATTTTTTTAAATTTCGTCTAAGAACTTTATCGGAATAAAGCTTTTTTTAGATGTAAAGGATTTATCTCATTAAATGCACGTAATTCATTGCATTTCTTTATAAATAAATCAAGATTATGGCTTTTAATATGAATGGCAGACCCATGTGCTATTCATGAATGATTGTATATTGATTCAAAAATAAATCTTTCAATGCAACCTCCAACCTTCAACAAGGCTAATACAATGTAGGATATTGGCAAACAATTTATATCATGACAGTGTTTGACAATGCATAATATATGTCAAATAATTAAGATGACTGTTTAAATGACTTAATTAATTCGGGTTTAACATTGATCACAGAGCAGCTAATTCTCGTTTGCTATGGATTTTGAAGATTCCTGTATACTCTAATATTGTTTGGTTCCAACCAAATGATGTACAAATCTTAATTTCACAAAGGTTAAATGTTTCTTTTATTTAAGTTCCAAAACGTAAGATTGAGATTAAACAAAAATATCTTTAAGGAATACCTGTCCTAGATTAACTATAGAAAATGAAGTATGACGTCCGACACCCTACACTATAGCTCATCGCATTACTTTGCTCTGTATTTATATCCATGTATTTAGGTATCATGTGTATATGAGCTTCCGCGCTATATCTTTTCCAGTCCTGTTCTTGATGGTTTTTAAGATAAATAAACAGTGATAAATGCTTATTTTGAATAACTTTTCCCTCATAGTTTGTGGGATCCCAAATTAAGTATTTTTGCTCTTACAGAATTTTCGATAAAATGATAATCATGAAGCTATTTATTTAATTTCTTAACACCCTTTCAAGATAAATTATACGGCTGTGTTTTTTTTTTGCAGGATTGTACATCTTATGCGAAACTTTGCTCAATAAAATTAAAGATAAATCAATATATAAATTAAATTATCAACATTTCACTATATTAAGTAATATTAATAAAATAGTCAAACCTTATTCCTAAAAAATGGCATTATAAACGTCCATCCCTGTCTGTTCCATCAATTTGAAGCGCATTTTTTTTTACTCTAGCATGGGTAATAATTAAAATCTGACAGGGATCGAATAATTTAAAGAAATAATCCAAAAAATAATTGCAATTAATCTCTGTTTATATTACAGAAAGCACCACAGCTGTACTTTCGCTTTGAGATATCAATACACCATGCATGCAGTGTTAAATCCAAAACTAGACAAATCTCATTGTCCTTGGTAGAATATCAAAACATGTTTAATGTTTAACAATACTATGCTCATTATTATCAATGATCATCAACTATAACACTCACAACAAAGTTCTCTTTCTATCTCACAATTCATTCAAATTAAGCTAAATTGAAAGTCCTCAGATTCTTGTATGAATGTCAGAATTGAAGAACTGAAGGAAAAATAATTTGGAATATCATCCTTAACAAATATAAATCAAACTTTTATCACCATGGCTACATGTATATACCAATGCACAATTAGGGAAGTATTTACAACTATTCCTGTATTTGTTTTAATGAATAGGAGTAGATCTTAAAAGTATAAATATCTATATAAGACCAAAAAAGAACTAATGAAAATCATATTATGCAGTGAATTAATTTCCTCAAGAATAGACTTTCAAGAGGTATAAACATTAAAAAAGTACATTTGTTCGATATTTTATAAGTACACATTTTTTTGATACATGTAGTCGTAAATTGTGCATTTATAGATACATGTAAGTCTGGTCACTACTTGGCATTAAAAATATAAATTCGAATTTGAAAAGATGAAATTGACTTTGCAGTCAACGATGTGTTGAGGTACGTCCTACTCTCCCCATATGTGTATTTTACAGTTAAACCAAATTCCAGCATTTGAAAAAAAAAAAAAAAAACTAAAAAAAATTAACACCTACCACCAACTCCCCACTATCCCCCCCCCCCCCCCATGGGACTTTGTTTTGCGGTCTGAAAATTTTAATTTTTCTCTGCTATAGGTCTGTATTGAGATTCATTCATCTTTGATATTCATTGAGTTAGTCACTGTCAATTTTATTCTTTTGAAAAGAATACATCTTTTAGTTGATTTCTATATCTGAAATTTCTTGATACCCACCTAGAAGTATTATTTACGATTAATCGGAGGAAGCCCAAAAACCGAGGTCCCGTGTCAAGACAAGTGTTGACATTATAAAGATCCCTCATTGCTCAATGGCTATGAGTGCCGAGTATAGTTCAAGTTTGAAGCCCTTCTCCGGTATATGTAACCTCTCTTTATGACTGAAAAATTGACGAATGGATCGAAAAGCAACATACAATCAATCAATCAGTTATTCAGTTACTTATATAGGACTTCCTGTTTTATCAAACAGTCCGACATATATTACTTTTGATTGTCGAAGAATATGATTTATTCCGACGTATTAAAGTAGCAGAAATTTAAAAAAAAGAACATTTAACTTAAATGGTCATTTAATCAGGGTGTGATTAACATTAATACGTTATGAATGATCAAATGTTACTGGATCATTTAATGCATGCAGTATTTGTCAAACTCTTGCAAGTTTTAAGATCGTAATAAGCAATACTTTTATTGTTAAAATCGGAAATTAGTGGGAAAATCTGATTTTTTTAATACCGTATAAAAATAACTCTTATGACATTTCTTTAGTTCAATAGAAGTGCATGAAAAGTATAGGTCTAAAAAGTATGTAAATTCTTGTACCGATAATACAATAGCTATTCAACTCCTTGGCGTCTATAAAAAGTCATGATTGCATATTTATTACTTTTTATTTTCCAATCTTATTTTAAAATTCAATTTCTTTTATCATTTTCAATTCTGCATTCCTGAAGGTAAGAAAATATATATTGCTGACAGAAATTCATTTGCCTTAGTAAACAATTACCTGTTTTGAAGTTAAACCAATTTCCGTGAATGTCCCGACTTGGTTAGATTGACGTAACAATGTGCTGTGATATAACGTTTAATGAAATTTGGATAGACAAAGTTCAATAGAACAAAAGAAAAATAATTCTGTATACAATAATCAAAACATTTCATGAATTGAAATCAATCGACATGATCCAAAATACACAAAAAGAGACAAAGAATAAAGTACAAAAACGTAGAAACGAAGTTTGTAAGAATATAACTTATTTGCCGAATGTGAATATTCCTCACACGATAATCCAAAAAGAATTTTATATCTTTCTTGTCGTGTCACCATTCTCATGTCTATTTCATTATTAACATTTTGTAAGTCCATTTGACATTCTACTTTCCTTTTACTATCCTAACAGGGCTCTTTTCGACTGTGTCGGTTTGCAAGTAAATTGTCTTCAATTGTCTTCAATAAGATTAAAGAAAAAAATGCTTATTAATATTAAAAAATCTAATTTTTTAAGGATATCACGACCTGCTAATCACATGAATACAAAAAAAAGCACAAATACGCTGAGTAATATTCTGCAGAAAACAGCGATGATTGCGACTTGCGAAGTCTTACCTACTCCTATAAATTACCTTAATATTGTAATATTGTGTTGCGTATATCGGTTCAACTTTTTTCCTTTGGTAGTTCCTTTAGTTTTTAATAATTGTTATTATCAAAGGCAACATTATTATTTTGAAGGACTAATTTCAATCCTTGAGAACAAATTCCTGTTGAAAGCGACCATGAAGAAGGTAAGGGTGTTTTTCTATCCAGAATTCTATTGCTTCTTTTCCAATTTCCTTTGGAAAGTTAGTATAACTGAAAGTAAACAAAAATATTTAAAAGGAATATCCGTCCTTGATTAACTATATAGAAAATAATGACGTGTGTCGATCACTTGAACCCCTAGCTCATTGTATTACTTTGCACAGTATTTATATCCATGTATTTATGTATCATGTATATATGAACTTCTGCACTCATTCCTCGCTTTTTGAACCCTTTCGTCAATTTATGAATTAATGATGTGAAAGATAAATAAATGTTTATTTTGAATTAATTATTTACTCTAAGTTTGTGAGGTCTCAAGTCAAGTATTTGTATTTTTCCCAAAGAATGTTCAATACAAATAATTTTGCTATCTTATTTAATTTATTAACATCGTTTCAGGCCAGATGTTAATTCATTTGAAAAAGGCGTTAATGGTAATCTAAAACCAAGCTCTATGACAAACGTGATGACGGAGTTTACATATCTCAGTTGGTTAGATATTCAAGAGTATGCTGTACGTATGAACAATTTCTAAAACGAAGTAAATTATTGACAAACAAGTTGATGAAATAAGAATATCAGTAGTCTCGTTTAAAGTCATCATTTCGTAAGTTCTATGGTCGATACAATGGCCTTGTCAGCAGATAGAATTTATCATTGAGTCAAATGCTGACGGATGTTTTTCATACAAATTGTTAGTATTAGGTTTTTATCAGTTATTTCCAGATCATGACAAGGAGCACACAGCGAGTGAGACCGGTCGGCAGGAGATACTCACTCCTCCATGGCTCCTGATCCCACCTCTGATGTTTTGGAAATCCTTTGCTCTGCTCCTATTTTGTATTGTTATATGGACTTTTGATCTATATTGCGAAAAAAAAACAGCAAACTTAAAAAAAAAACAAAAAAAAAAAAAAAAAATAAAAAAAAAAAATAAAAACGTAACGTATCACTACAATGATATAATCGTTTAAAAGAAAGTTGGATCTAAATACCTTCCGTTGGTTTAGAAAACAGAAAAACAGAGCCCATAAAAATGTTGCACTATATTTTTTATTCCTTATTTTTTGGAACATACAGCACAAACTATTTCTCTTCCCTCAACATACGGTGGACATTTCAACGAACCACACCGACCTTCTATGAAATAAAATAGGTAGCCATTTTGATTAGATTGGCCATCAGGCAGTGTGCCTGGATCCTTGTCTACACACGTGTATGTTGAAACAGCTGCATGAAAATAATATCCAGCCATTAAGTAGCCTTGGTACTCGAGTGTCCAGCCTTTGTCGCAAGTTTTTCTCGCTGAAACAATATATTGTATATTTTATTTAATACTCAGTATATAAAGATTTGCTTAAACATGCTTATCTTTTGAAACTAAATCACACCATTTGTGAAAGACAATTACGGAACTCCAAACATTGTACCACTTTTAAACAAAATAAATATACAAACTACTATTATTCCAATAACAGCATGTCACTTTGTTAATGGAGCGTGTTAAAGATTAACATTGACCTGTTACTATATGTGCATTAATTAACCTTGTACCTGTGGAGAGGGCTTATATAGGCTATGCCTGCTGTCCAATCCTTTTATGTATTTGTTACATAATAAAATATGTTCAAATCGAAAATAAAGATTAACATGTTGATCACAATATTCCTCTATCGATTTGATGTTTGATTTCAATGAAAAGAATACACTTTTACATGTGAACATAGCAGCAATCAATGGCTTTTACTCACCACGTGTTTTTGCCTATAACAAATGCCGTGCTTGTTAACAATTTTTCAATGCAAGTAGTCAGTATTGTACGTGTTTTGCTTGATTGTCTATTTCATATGCAAAGTAGTATTCATTTCATTGCAATCAAACATCAAATGGATGCGAAATGTGGTGAACAAAATGTGAACATTTTGCACGCTTGATCTAACAAAGTGACACGCTTTATTGGAATGATAGTATAGCTAATACAATTGACTAAACAAGAGCTGTATAGTATAATTCATTAACTAAACTATTTTTTTATTGAACACATTAAATTTCAACTCAATACCTGAAGCTTTAAAAATGTAGGAAATTTTATCACGTAGTACGGACTGAAGGACAGACAGCTAAACATGCGGAAGGACGGACAGACAGACAGACAGATGCAGAGAATATCTATAGTCTCCTCAGGTTTCACTTGAGGGACTAACTAAGATGGATGCCATTAGGTATCTTAACAAACATGTTATCAAAGTCAAAAATCACGTAAAAAGGAGCAATATCTCAAACTATATTCTAGAAAATTCTGGAAATGTCA